TTCTGCTCACCGTCCCCAGTGTGCTCCCCTGGCACCGGGAGGCCAGAGGCACAGGGTCCAGAGCTGTCGATGACACACACCCAGGCGGGACCTCCATCCCCAGGTGGCCCCAGCCCCCTTGCGAAACAGGGCTCACGGGCCCAGACCCGCCGTCCGCTCTCCCGGGCGAGGCCGGGGCTTGGAGTAGGGATGCAGCCGGGACATGCTCTCAGCAGCACTATCCCGGTGGGAGCCTTGGCTTTGAGGAAGGTGGTTGAAATATGGGAGAGGGGACAGAAGGAGAGTAGCCGAATCTGTTAGGTGCCTGCGTGCAGCCGGCCATCACCTAGCAATGGAGGGAGATGCTGGGAGAGCCCGGGCCTGAGGTGGGGGGGGGGGAGGAGAGGAGGGAGGGGAGGCAGAGGCTGGCCTTGCCCTTCCCCATCTTGGCCCAGAGAACCCCTGACAGGAGCTTGGGGCCCCAGGGAGGAGTCTCTGGAGGCTTGACTCATGAGTGTCCCTAGTGCAGCGCATGCCTGCCAGCCCAGGGCCGCCTCCCTGCAGGTGGCTGGACGGCTGGACAGTGGACAACATCTCCCTGGAGGAGCCGGCCGGCTCCTCTAGGAGCTCTGGAAACGTGGCTCAGTTACAGTGAAGACCCCCCCACCCCCCCACCCCCGCCGGCTCACTTCCTGCTCAGCATCAGGAGAGCGGGGAGACCAGCTGACCTGCTCATCGGCCTCCTTGACCTTCACTGCGTCCCCAGGGTGACCCCGGGGCTGCCATCTGAGCAGGCGGCAGATAAGAGTCTAGTCCCCAACTCTTTGCCCTGGGGCCATAGCGCTCAGCGGGCGCTTCCAGAGCAGACCCGTCAGGACTCCCTCAGGGTCCCCTTGGAGTCCCTCCTCTCACTGCTGCCCCCCCAGGCCTGCATCCTGCGGTCCAGGGCGGGAGCCCCCGTGCACTTCAATCAAGTGCTGATTTGGGAAACCCCTACTGTGTCCCCAGCCCTGTGGGGGCCCCTAGGGCAGAGGTCCTCAGCTCTGACAGCTTGCTCCTGCCCAGAGGCCACTGTATAGTCTGGCTAGAGCCAGCCTGGGCTTGTCAGGACCCCACCATGTGATTCTCCTGTGCAGCCGGGGGGTGAGGCACTGTGCCTGGGGTTTAGGCACTCAGGCCCCTCCTGTGAGTGCTCCTGCCGTGTCCCGTGAGTGCTCCTGCCTTATCCTGAGTGCTCCTGCCGTATCCTGTGAGTGCTCCTGCTGTATCCTGAGTGCTCCTGCCTTATCCTGAGTGCTCTTGCCGTATCCTCTGAGTGCTCCTGCCTTATCCTGAGTGCTCCTGCCGTATCCAGCTCTTCGTCACCTCTGATATCAAATGCCCTGTTACGCTGGGGGGAGACTTTGGGGGGAAGGGGCCCTGAAAGTACAGAGCGTGTGAGCCTGGGGCAAACCCCACACCCCGCCTCCGAGGACTGTGCTCCCCCTCGTCGGCCTCCTTTGTCGCTGAATCAGCACAGCGTGAAAATGCAGTCGGATCAATTAATTGCTACTTGATGTTACGGCTGTGCAGGCAGGTGGCATCTGTCCCATCGGACGCACAGTCACGGTCACTTCAGGACAAACCTGCCCACAGCCCTCCGCAGCCTGTACTCCCCACACCCCGGGGCTCAGGACCCCAGGGTCCTCTGTTCTGTTCCTTAAGGCTCAGCCTGTTTATCTCTCACGGTGGTGAAAATCAGAGAACTTAGTTTTCTTGAGGAAGAAGGGAGTTGCTGGGGCCTATTCTGTGTACTTTCTCAGAGACGTTTCTATTCCATCAGCGTTGGTGCCGTAAGTCCGATGCGTGACTAACCTGAACTGTGTCGGGAGACAGTTGGCCACAGGGCTCAGCTTTCTGCACAGCTAGCGAGAGGGCACCCGCTGCCCTTTGTCCCCAACCATCGTCCCCAGACCGTCTGCGTGGCTAACAGACTTGAAGCACAGAGAGCGTGGCTCCCGCTGGAGCCTGGGTGGCCGCGCTTCCTGCCTGTTATAAAGGACTCACGTTCCCCCAGCTCGGGGGTCCTCTCCATAAGGCACCCCGCATGTGCGGCCCCCCACCCGGGCCCGTGTGTGTCACCCTGTGCGACATGAGGACAACTGTGTCAGTGGCCCTGCTGCCTGTTGCCACATGAGTAATAAGGCCCTTGTCCCCGACCCAGAAGCCTCCCACCTCCTCCCTGCACCCACACAACTGGCCAGCCGACGGGCCGCCTGCAGCAGGGTGGCCGTCCATCCCTCCATCTGATGGGTATTCGCATAATGGAGGTCACATGGCAGCCAGAACGACTGAGCCACAGCAGTGCGGGGCCACTTAACCCTTTGGGGGGTAAACGTAGAAATGCTACGGCAGGTCCGCGATGTCGTTATGAAGTTAGAAACCGCTGTGCTCACACACACGCACACACACGCACACACTCTCTCTCATTAGGGGCACCTAGGGACACGACCACGTGAAGACGACAGCAGGGGACCGCTGAAGTGGGATTTGGGGCGGCAGCTCCCCAGGACGGGGTGGGGAGGGGTGGCGGGGAGGACGGCTCGCACATCAGGCGAGGGTACGCGTCTGCGGTGCTGGCGTTTTGGGCCCTACGGCATTTTCGGAAGTAGCACTGGCCCTAACCTCCCACCGTCCAGCGGCCGCGGACAGAAGAGAAGGATGAGCCAAGGACCACGGTTAACCCGGCCTGCGCGCCTGAGCGTGGTGCGGTAAATAGAGAGCTGGGCGATAAGTGAATGAGATGCGTTAATGAATGGATAGATAGATGGGTGGACAAATAAGTAATGGGGCAAAGCTTGACCCAGACAATCTGCCTTCCTTAGCGAGGGGACATATGGAAGATGAGACACTGGTTTAAAGGACTGAGAACCAAAGCCACGTGGCAGGGCTTCTTTTACAGAAACGCCTGTGGGGTCGCTGGTGGGTGTCGGGTGGGGGACGGGCTGAAGGGGCGACGGGCATTAAGGAGGGCGCTTGTAGGGATGAGCACTGGGTGTTATGCGCAAGTGACAGATACCAAATTCTATCCTGAACTGATTACTACACTATATGTTAACTAAATTGGATTCACGTTTGAAAAAGGAAAGATCATTTAAAGCAAACAGACAGACAGACAATCGCCTGTGGTAGCACCGCTCACACTGCAGAGGCCAAGACAAGACACACTTCGGGTCCCTGGCCGGGCACCCCTGAACTTTGCTAGGGCTCCAGGTAGGCCCCACACAGCGTTACTAGAACCCGCGGCAAAGCATGCGCACTGGCGGCTTAGCGCCCCTAAAGTCCCACAGGCCTTGGTGGGGGGGGGAACCACACGGTTCCTTCTTCCTGCCGGGCGCTCCCTGAACGCAGGGGACGCGGGCGCTGCTCCCAGAGCTCAGACTCCGTTGTCAGGCGCCGGGGCTGGTTCTGAGCCCGCAGCAGACCTGCTCGGTGCACCAGCCACACAGTCCGCTGAAGAGCGAGGCGTCAGCCCCCCGCTGTGCTCTGTGCGTGGACGACAGCAACCCCCATGCTGCCCGAGTGGACGACAGCCCCTCCACCCCATTGTGCTGCCCGCTTGGACAGTAGCCCCCCCGCTGTGCTGCCCGCGTGGATGACAGCCACCCCCTTTGTGCTGCTGGCGTGGACGACACCCCCCCCACGCTGTGTGCCCACGTGGAAGGCAGCTCAAGACCTGGTGGGGCGGTTCTGGCCCCAGCCGAGCGGCCCGCGCTGACGCCCCAGCAAGGAGACGGGACAAGCACTCTCCTCCTCGAGGCCTCGGCTCGTCCCCAGCTCACTGCCTCCAGAGGCCGAACTGCCCTGGGCTGGAAAAGGCCTGCGTGACCCCAGGGCAGGCACCAGGTTGGGCCTTAACAGTACCTGCCAGGAAACAAACTATCAATCAGTGAAAAGTGGAATTCCAAGACCCAGGCCACCCAGGGCCTTGCTGGAGGCTCAGCCATGGATACGCGCAGTGACCTTGGGCAAGTGTCCCGACCTCCGGCGGACCATCTGCCACGGCCCTCCTCGTGTTCGGACGCTACAATCCTGCAGACGTCTGCTCAATGGCGTTTCCCTGCGCGAACGCAGGTGCGGTTTCCGGGGCCCCTGGAAGGGGGTCAGAAGACAGAGACCCCATCTGTGGTGTGACGAGCGGCTGTCCCTCTGTGTCTGCCCGGCCAGCACAGGCAGGTCACCGGACTTCTCCTGGGCGGTGGCCTCTGGTTAATGACACCATCACTCACCAGCCTGGGAAGATTCATTAGATAATGTCTGTGAAGTACGTGAGGTCATCGAAGGAAATTGCTCTATGAATCCAAGGTATTAAAAATAGAAGTGAAAGGAGAGACATTTAAAGTCAAGGATAAAGATTTCCTGTGCAGCTCAATAAACCGCGGGCTCCAAGAGGAGCCCAGGGCACGTCCGGGGGGAGGGCAGCGTCTGTGTGGGAGGCTGCAGAGTCCAGCGGCGGGGGGCCTGGGACAGATGTCAGCACAGTGGGGACATGCCCGCCGTCCCTAAGGAGGCCCACGCACATACACAATAAAAGGGGCCACGCTCCACGTGGCTCGGCCACTCCGACCAGGAGACATGGCATCCCGGAGTGGGACAGACAGAGCAATGCCAAGTCGGGGGTGGGGTCCTAACCCTTCCCAGACTATGAGCAAGTCACCCTCTCCGTGAGGCTCATCTTATAAAGGACGGGATGAGGGGCACCTAGGTGGCTGTCGGTTAGGTGTCCAACTCTTGATCTCAGCTCAGCTCATGATCTTGCGGTTCTTGAGTTCAAGCCCCGAGCCAGTCTCTGCGCTGAGTGTGGAGCCTGCTTGGGATTCTCTCTCTCCCTCTCTCTGCCTCTCCCCTGCTCATGCTCTGTCTCTCTGTCTCTTGTCTCTGCTCCTCCCCTGCTGGTGTGTGAGCACGTGCACTCTCTCTCAAAATAAATACATTAGCATAAAAAAATAAAAATAGAATAAATGAAAGATGGGTTGACCAGATAATTTCTTTGGTTCCTTTCAGTCCTGTGAAGTGTTTGTAACAACAATTTGCTCAAATCCCTGAAGCCTCTGGGGTCCGATTCCTCCTGCTTGAGAGGCCGGGCACACGGTGGCCAAGAGCCTGGACCCTGGAGCAAGGATGCCTTGGTTTGAATCTCAGTTCTGACATTTTTAAATACTTTTCCTCAACATCTTATTATGAAAAATTAAACTCAGGAAATCTGAATGAATTGTTCATGGACACCCATATACCCACCCCCTAGATGCTGTGTGGTCAACACTTTATCCACACCTGTCCGCCTGTCCAATCCTCTGCCTATCAGTCTGGCGTGTTATTTACGGATTTCAGAATAAACTGCAGATGTCAGTGCATGTTTGCTTCCGCTCAGTTCTGAGGCGTTTTAGGTGTGAGATCTTGGGTGAGTCGATCTCTCTTTGCCGGTTCCCCACCCTTAACGCGTGGCTGTGCGTGGCCCAAACAGAATAGCCTTGTGGGGAAGCTGATGGACACAAGGCACTTAGGGCCTGAGCGTGCATGGTACGCATCAGCCATCACTACCGGGAAACCGAGGCGCAGTGGGACTCACAGCCATGCTCCAGAGCAAGTCTGTATGACAAGGTTTCCCCAGAAGGACCAGAGTCATCCGGATGGCATCTCAGAGCAGGACACAAGATTAAGGAGAAAACTTACAGGGGAGGCTGTCATAATGCGCCCAAGTGTCGCCGGGCAGGCACAGGCATCTCCGCTCAGGCCGTCCCGGGACTCGCCGGGACTGACAGCGCCCGCAGCCTCCTGGTCACGTCGTCCGTGATACCATCGTCTTCACCTTTCCTTCGGCAGGAACGGTTTCAACTTAGAGGAAGTTGGGAAAAAAATAACCAGTTGCCCAGATGTAAGTGTTTGCATAACGTCTGTTTCATAGACATGATGGAATTCACCGCAAACAACCGGGAGCGTCTCTGAAAGGTGAGGCCATCATCCCACACAGGCTACAACCTGTCACACACAGAACTTGTGGTCACCTGACGTCCGGTGTGAATGCCTTCAGTGACAGGACCCTCGGGGTTACGCGTCATATTTTGTTTTTACGTCTTTCTTGCTTCTTTCCGTCTAGACCCATCTCCCCGAGGAGGCGGGCCAGTTTCCTCGGAGGAAACCCCACGTTCCGCATTTGTCTGATTGTTCCCTCCTGGGACCGGTGCTTTGTCTCCGTCTCCTGCACTTCCTGCAAACCAGGAAGAACCAGCTCGTTTTGATTTCCAGGGTTGGGTGTAAGAACGTGTTATTTTTATCTTATGATCTTTGAAGAGTTTCTCCTTCCTCTTCATGAGGAAATTCGGGTGAGAGCAGAAAATGGCAAATGCAGGTGGAGGGAGACAAGGTCTATAAATTACTCCCCTCAGCGGGAGCCGCGGGTCGGTCCCCGCCCCCCCCCAGCGGGAGCCATGGCCGC